AAAAAAAAAAACTATCACAAAAACTGTAATCCAAAGTCATGAAGATTTGTACCTAAATTTCCTTATAAGAAATTTATAGTTTTTGCTCTAATATGTAGGTTTATGATCCATTTTCAGTTAAAACGTTTGTATATGGTATGAGATAAGAGTCCGATTTCACTCTTTTGCATAAACATATTCAGTTGTCCTGATAACATTTGTTGACAAAAAAAAAAACAAAACTACCCTCCCCTGTTGCATTGGCCTCTCCTCTCTCTTGTCAAAACTCTACTGACCGTGAACGTGAAGGTTAATTTCTGGACTCTCAATTCTATTCCGTTGGTCTAGATGTCTACCCAATGCCAATACCACACTATCTTGATGACTATAGCTTTGTCATCAGTCTTGAAATCGGGAGCTCTGAGTCCTCCAACTTTGTCCTTTTCTGAGGTGGTTTAATTCTTCCAGCAGGGCATGGTGGCGTCATGAGTGGAAGCTCAGTGGCCGGGTGGGTTTCAGGAATGGTGTGATCCGAGGCTCCCTGGCTCATCAAAGATTCGTCCTTTCCACACACTGCTGGCTGTCCTCTTCAATACTGGCTTCATTCTAGGTCACAACTCGCTCTCCGTACTTGAGGCAGGCTCAGTGGAGACGTTCAAAACACAGGATGCTTGGTTCCTCTGGAACCCGGAACGCCCGCCCCGCCCCGCCCCGCCCCAGGGTTGCCATAGCAACAGCCAACAGTCAGCAAGCCTGCGCCTCCGTTGAGAAGGACTCCTCACAAGCACTTCACACGTATCAGGGCTGCTCAGCGGCCCAGCTCCAGGGACACCATTCACCACGTTGGCTTCCCCTGGGGCAAAACTCATGTTATTCATATTCACATTGTGATATGAGCGATGTCGTTTTCAATAAGGGCACGTTTGTCTACATACTCACAGTACATTAATTTCATCTTCTTCCGAAGCAAAAGGAAGAAATTACACGGTGATGTCAAGGGGTCCCGTGGGTCTCCTGCAACAATCACTCAACCGAGACGTATTGAGTCGCCCACATGTGCTCAGCGTTGTGCTAAGAGTTGGAGGTAGAAGGTCCTTCAGAAACTAATGCCTCTAAGAGAGGGAGGCTGGGGGCAGTCAGGGTAGGCTTCTTGGAGGAAGCGGTGAAAAGAGGCAAGCGGCCGCATCAGGAAGCCACACAAGTACTTGGACTCAGTCATCTAGCTTTGCTACCACTGGGCTGTGCAGCTTCAGGCAAGTCACTTAACCTCTCTGAGCCTCAGTTTGGTCATTTGCCAACCGTCACCTATAGCACATCCTTGGCAGGGCGCTTGTGAGAGTTAAAAGAAGTGTAGGTAACCTTTGATGGTGCTTTGGTCCCTGGGAAGTGGTGTCAAAGCACCTTCAGGCGACGGAGATTTCTTTTTCCTCCCAGGAATTTATGTTGGACAAAATGGAGACAGTGAGATTTATATCACTGCGCGTGGAACCCAGAGTGTGCTGGTCAGCGGACAGTGACAAGAGTGAGGGCCTCAGAAGATACCCCAGGTCCTTCAGGAAATGCCCAAGGGATCGAGATTCGATCCCCCAAACGCCCTTTCCCAGCACCCAGACTTCAGCACGCTCCAGCCCATATGGACCAGGCCGGCCACCAAGCCAGCCCTGCCAGCCTCAGGACCATCTCCTTAGCCCCTCGGCCTCCTTTTGTCACCACAGTGCCCCCAAGTGGGTGGGAGCCAGCCTGTTCCCCCGCACTGGGGGATTGGCAGGCAACAAGGCTGTGGACCGGGGAAGAGAGAGAGGGAGTTCGCCGGGTGGGAGGCAGCGGGAGGTCAGGGGGGGACCTGCCAGGCTGGACTTGCACCTGGGAGCCAGGGCCGCACTGTCAAGGTCGTCGGTGGGTTTGTCTAAGAAGAGCTCTGGATAGGTGGCTAGCTTTTAGGAATATGCGCGTCACAGAAACTCCCGCAAAGAGCCCCTCAGGGCCTGGGAGGCGTGAGAGCTCGCCTTGCCCACTGCAGACCGGGGAGCACGGCAGGCTGGGGGTCCTGAATTTGTTCATCGGGGGCGTCTCCTCAGAAGCAGAAGCAGGGTCAGTGCCCTCTGCGTTTCCCGAGGGTCCCAGAGCTGCCCGGAGTGGATGCTGCTCTCGGGGAGAGCTTGGCAAGGCAGAACCCCTCCCTCTCCAGCCTGCCTGGAAAGTTGGGTGAGAGGGCATCTAAGGGAGTCCCCCTCCCCCTCCCCAGCCGGATGTCCTTAGGCTGGGGGTGAAAGAGCTTGGTCTGGATGAAAGCACTGGCTTGACACCCTCCTGGTGACCGCCGCCTGGAAAGAATTCACGTCTGGAGGCCGGCCTGCCTCGGCTTTTTGGTGTGGATAAAAGTCGCACGTTAAGAGTAACTGACCAGCTGCGAACCAGCGAGTTAACTTTCAAAGAAGAGTTTCAGAAAAGATGCTGCTATTCGGTCCACAAACGCCAAGGGTCGTCATTTTCCAGGTGCTGTTGGGAGAGGGGACAGGCGGCTCAGAGGGAGGGACGGTAGGAGCCGGAGTAGGACTTAGCTGCGGAATTAGCGAGAGGAGCTACATACAGTGAGGCTGAGTGTGGTCTGGTCTTCTGAACGGCTTGAAGGGGAACCAAGGGGGGACCATTGTTTCAAGTTCTGGTCTCACAGGCCTTTGGAGCAAAGAGGACATCTCAGGTAGGCTGGAGTCAGATTCCAGAAGGCGGAGGTCATGGTGGGGGGCGGGGCTCAGAAAGTGAAGGGATCACGAGAGGAGGGGTTTCCAGTCTGGCTGGAGCCGGAAGAACCTGATGGGCGGTCTGAGAAGGTGGACTGCGGAACCATCGTGGGGTCCACAGGCCCAGCTACAAGGTTTGGACGTCGGTCCAGAGGCCACACATGGGGGTGGCTTGGTCTTGGGCTGCTACACCAGAAGACCACAGACTGGGGGCTTAAACAACGGACATTTATCTCTCGTACTTATGGAGACCGGAGGTCCCAGATCAAAGCACTGGTGGAATAGCAGTCAGGCAGGGGTCTGCGTCCTGCTTCATAGACGGCCGTCTTCTCGTTGTGTCCTCACAGGGTGAAAGGGGCAAAGCAGCTCTATGGGGGTCTCTCTCATAAGGGCACAAATCCCATTCCTGGGGGCGCCACCCTCATGATCTAACACCTCCTAACACACTGGAGACTGCAATGTGACCATGTGAATTTGGGGTGAGGGGACGCAAGCATTCAGTCCCTTGAAGGGAGCCTCCCACATTCCTGCCTTCCTCTGTTCTCCCTCTCCCCGCAACATCTGCTTTCCAAAGACACCTAGAGTATCCCGTCCATCTCCCTGTAACGTGGGCACATGCTGGGCCAACGATTCTTGGACTCGAACGTTTTGTCCGGAAGACATGTGACCACACAGAGTGTGTCCCCGCTCCCAGAGCTTCTGATTCAACAATCTGGGGTCTTAGAGGCCTTAGAATTTGCATTTTTTTTTT